TATATATATATATATATATATCTCTTTTATCTGCTTCTTGTTAGGGAAAAATAAATAAAAAAAGGAAAAAAAAACAAAATAATAATTAATTACCTAGGAATAAAAAAGAAGAAAAATATACAGATAAATATATACTTATTGTCCCTTTTCCCTCTGTACATTGATCTAACTAGCAAGTATATAAGGGAGATATACATGCATGCATGCATGCATGCATGCATGCATGCATGCATGCGCAGGAAATGCAGCAACAAACTATAGCAGCAAATTAGTACCATGCAGCTAGACTATAGCAACAGAGCACGAAGGGTACGAAAGTACCTGCTGCTGCAGTTGCTGCTGCTGCTGCAGTGGCTAGCTGCTGCTGCAGTTGCTGCTGCTGCTGCAGTGGCTAGCTGCTGCTGCAGTTGCTGCTGCTGCTGCTGCAGTGGCTAGCTGCTGCTGCAGTGGCTTGCTGCTGCTGCAGTGGCTTGCTGCTGCTGTGCCCACTCCCTTACTTATTGCTGCTACACTTGATCCTTTAGCTGTGTAGCTGCTGCAGCTGCTGCAGCTGCTGCCAATGCTGCTGCCAATGCTGCTGCTCCTCTGCATGCGCATGGTGTGTGGAGTATGCATGCAAAGTAGCAGCAGTTGGACCAACTACAACAACAGCTGCAGCAGCAACAGCTGCTGCTGCTGCTGCTGCAACAGCAGCAGCTGCTGCAGCTAATAGAGGTGTAGCAACTTGGCATCGGTAGCCACATAGACTTGAAGTCTAGATAGCTGACACCTAAACCCTAAACCCTAAACCCTAAACCCTAAACCCTAAGCACTGGACCGCCTCAGACGCACGAGATGACTGCACGTAGCTGGTCAGCAGCAACCGTTCAGGGTGGGATAACCTAAACCCTAAACCCTAAACCCTAAACCCTAAACCATAAACCCTAAACCCTAAACCCTAAACCCTTCTAAATAAGCCTTTTCCCTTAATTGAATAAAAATAGGAAGGTAATGGATAACTGACTTCGTTGTAGTGTTGCTCTGCGTTCTTCAATGTTCTGGCGGCTGCGGTCGCCGAGACAGCAGCAGTAACTGCTGGAGTTGCTGCTGCTGCTGCTGTTGCTGCTGTTGCTGCTGCAGCAAAACAAGTTTTTTTGTTATATATTCCCTAAGTTGTTACTTAACTGACCTCTAGGTTTAGCGGGTAAGCAGCAACAGACGCTGCTTGAACAACACCAGCAGCAGCAGCTGTTGCTGTTGCTGTTGCTGTTGCTGTTGCTGTTGCTGCTGCTGTAGCAGCAGCTGCTGCTGCTGAGGCCGCTGCGTCTGCTGCGCCCTATGCATCTGCTGTCTCTGTTGCTCCTTGAAGGATCTAACCCTATCAATCGTATTTATCTCTTTTTCCTTTCTTCTTATCAATTGTTTCTCTTTTCTCCCTCTGCTTAGCAGCATTGGAGCCTTTAGAGCTGCTGCTGCTCTTCTGCTGTTGCTGCTGCAGCATCGACAGCTGGCTGCACCGCTGCAGCAGCAGCTACAGCAACAGCAATAACCAAATCCCCATAGACAGAACACAAAATCCCTTCATTTCTGCTTCTTTGAGTGCAAAGGAGAAGGCTTAGCCATAGATCTCCCCTAGCAGCAGCAGCAGCAGCAGCACCAGCGGCAGCAGCAGCAGCAGCAGGGAGCGCAGTCGGCGTCGGCAGCGGCAGCAGCATGTGCTCTTGTGCAGGACGCTCCTCTTCTTTAGTTTTCCAATACGACCAGCAGCAGCAGTTGCGACTTCTTCTGCTGCTGCAGCAACAACAGCAACAACAGCAGCAGCAGCAGCAGCAGCAAACACTGCAGCAGCAAACTCATTCTTCCCCAGCAGCAGCAGGTGACCTTAAGAAGCAGAAGGCATAGAAGCCTAGCAGCACTTTTGCTGCATGCGCAGACACAAGAGACTCCTACATTGTCTTGATGGAGTCTCCACAGCAGCAGCAGCAGCAGCTGCTGCTGCAGAACCCGCAGCATGTGCAGCTGCCGCAGCAGAAGCTGCAGCAACAGCAGCAACAGCAAGACTTCCACGCACGCCTAGTGCCTGCGTTTGCAAGTAGCAGCAGCTGCTGCAGCAACAGCAGCAGCAGCAGCAGCAGCAGCTCGGTCTCCACGAAGACGTTATGTGGAGAAACACCGAAAGTTCCTAGCAGCAGCAACTCCCCAGCACAGCAGCAGCAACAGCAGCAGCAGCAGCAGAAGCAAATGGACGAGAGGGCGCGACTGAGGCCGATAAACAGAAGCAGCCCTTCCGCTAAGCTTTCCGACCAAATTCAAAGACTGCAGCAGCAGCAGCAGCAGCAGCAGCAGCAGCAGCAGCAGCAGCAGCAGCAAGTACAGCAGCAGCTGCTGCAGCAGAGGGGAGAATCCTTTCAGAATTTGCCTATGTATCCATTGAGGCCTTGTCTCCTACGCAGGCAGCAAATACGCTGCAGCTCCCAACACTCCTTCTCTTCCTCGCTGCTGCTGCAGCAGCAGCAGCAGC